CAAACGGCAGTGTTTAGGCAACGCAAAGTTTCTACCGGGGAACTATTTTATATTATAGCAGCGCAGATGTCGTTGCGCCTATGTTTTGGGAGTATGCCTTATGCATCTCTTTCGTAGTTGTTTTGGGAGCTACAGCGATCGGCAAACGTCTACGGTCTGCTCGTAACGCTCTTATACGGCGCTCTCGTACGCTATTGTCGCGTCGCAAGGTGCAGTTAGGACTAGCATATAAGTACTACATAAGTTCAAGAACCACATCGACGGCAATGAACAGCAAGCCGATGATACAGTCTGTAAGCGACAGCCCAGGAAAGCAGAACGCACCCTCTGTGCCAAAAATTGTATTTTTAACTTAACCTCTAATAAATCATTACGCAATCATTAAATCCGCGTGTAAAACCTTTCTCTGGGACCACCGGATCCGCCCCCCTAAGGAACGTCCACTGCCGCCACAGGTGTAATACCACTTTGTGTGCCGCATCATTATCTCAGCAGATTGGGGCTCCGTCAAGGCGCAGCCGTAAACAACATCTTTTGGTGCCGAAACCCGGGACTGCTTTGCTTGGGACTGGCTGGAAACAAACCGTTGGTCTTCGTTGGACACCTTTAAACAGTGGAAGGTTCATTTACGCAAGGTTAGTGCACTTGTGAGTTGTTGTGTGATAGAGAGTTGAGTCATGGCCGAAGGTGTAGTGGAATTAATTTGCGAGCAAACTGCGTTGGTAGACTCGGTGAAGCGTATGTTGGAAAAGTTCAAAAATGATGAGACCAATAAATCTGAAGCGCATATGGAGGCTAGATTGGAAGCTATGACCACGGTACATGCGGAATTTCGCGCGAATCATCGTAAGCTGATACGGTCGGAGGATGATTTGGTGAAGCCGGGTTATGTGGAGGTGGATCTTGAAGGGCAGTTTGAAGAAGCGTATATCGATTGTGTCGCACAAATTCGAACGGAATTAAACATCTCGAGAGGTCGGATTCTTGCATCAACGCTCATCTCATCCGGTGAAGTGCAGCGAAATGGGTCCACCGAACCTACTGGTGTTAGCGGGTCAGCCGGTGTTGAAGAGGTTAAACTTCCTAGAGTGAAACTACCCATGTTCAGTGGAGAATTTGTGGATTGGCCGGCATTTAAGGAAATGTTTGAAGCTCGGGTCCATAATTGTCCTAGACTCACGGATTTGCATCGATTTCACTACCTCAAAGATTCTCTTTCAGATGAAGCGAAAAGGGATATACAACACCTTACTCTGATAGAATCTAATTACAGTGTAGCTTGGCAAATGTTGTTGAAATTGTATGATAATAAGCGAGTGTTGTTTCAGCATTATATGCAGGTTCTCGAGCAACAGCCCATGGTCCGTAACGACGACCCTGTGTCGCTAAAAGGGTTTTTGCAAACTTGTCGTTCATGCATTAAATCGCTGGAGAAGGTGGGGGTGGATCTCACCCATCAGAGCCACATTTTGGTATACCTGATGACGAAGAAGCTGCCAGCGCAGATACGATTGGATTGGGAAAAATCGATAGCTCAATCGCAAGAATTACCAACTTTCGAGGAGCTGTCTACCCAGCTAGACGGTCAGTATAGGAAGATGGTCACGACAGCCTCAGCTGACAAAGTGTTGTCATCGAACAAGGAGAGTAAAGGCGCTGCTGGGTCCGGCGTAAAACGCAGGGATGTTAAATCTTCATTTGTTGCCCGATCGGTGGATCAATGCGCAGTCTGTGGAACTGAAGGTCATTCCATAGTCGACTGCAAGGTATTTGGAGGCATGAATGTAACAGACCGGCGGGCATCGGTGATGAAGTATCGCTTGTGTTTCAATTGTTTGGGAAGCAGCCATCAGTCTCGCAGGTGCAGGCTAAAAAACAATTGTTCGATTTGCACAGACCGACACCACACTCTTGTCCATGTGAAGCGTCAAGTAAGGGATTCTGGGGATCAGGTGCAACAGATCACGTCGAATGTCATAAATGGTGTGCCCGCTATAGGAACGCAAAAATATGAGGTACTGCTGCCTACGGCGTTGGTCAACCTTGAATCATCAGAAGGCTTCCCGTTGCAATTTAGGGCATTCTTAGACCAAGGATCGCAAGCTTCGTTTGTATCGGAAAACGTAGCGCAAAGACTAGGATTGTGTCGACAAAAGACACATTTAAAGGTAAACGGGTTATCCAATGCGCGGATTACGGAAGCATCCTCTTCAGTTCTGTTGAAAACCGGATCACGGTTTGAACCGCAAGTGAAGTACAATGTCACAGCGTATGTTTTGCCGAAGGTTAGTAAGAGGATGCCGGATCGTCGGATATCGATGGAAAAATGGACTCATTTCAAACATCTATGTTTAGCAGATCCCAATTATTTTGTACCCCAAGGAGTGGATATTTTGCTAGGTAGTGACATATATGATGAATTGATGTTGAGCGAGATACATCGTGGACCTGCAGGCACGCCTATCGCGCAGAACACCCGTTTAGGGTTCATTATCTCAGGGAAGGTCCAGGATTATGCAACTAACGCATTGGTACATACGGTTCAGGTGGTCCAGGATGATTCATCTGCGGAATTGGAAGGGTTGCTCCGACGGTTTTGGGAGCTTGAGCAGTATGAGCAAGAATCTGGAGGATTATCGAATGAAGAACAATGGTGTGAGGAACATTTTCTAGAAACATACAAAAGGTTGTCGTATGGGAAATATGTAGTGCGGCTCCCATTGTTATCGACATTGGACCCTGGCGCAGTGATTGGAGCGTCGTACCGGCCAGCTCTAAAAAGGTTGTGCCACCTGGACAAACGTTTACGGAAGGATGCCAAGTTGAGCTTCATTCTATGGGGGTATTCAAAATTACAGTTGACTTGGTGTTGGATGGCAACCCAAAGGGTTCGCAATTGCATGGTGTGTATGCAAAATCAACCACCCACTCTGCCATTCCTCATTTACACTACTGGTCAAAATAATAAGTAAAGAGGTATTGTGCTAGTTTGTTATTAAATATCTCTTGTTTTTGAAATCATGGCTGCCAACTGCTTATATTATGAAAGGTTACAGTGTTGCAAAGCATTTAAATTCAAAATGAAAGTGGGGAGCATCACCTATTCAATTCTAAGCTCAATTTTGTGATAATAAGTACACTTGTGAAATTTATAATTTTTTAAGGATTTTATCAGTATTTGGACCAAGTTTTTTTTTTTGTTGATTGATTCCTCGCATATTTAAGTACATGACGTTAACAAAAAATTCTTTAGATGGGCCGAAAAAAGCATTGTAATGAAGAAGAAAACAAGATTGCCATAAATCTTCAAAAAGAAGGGAAAAGTCTTCGGAATATTGCCAAAAGTCTTGGACGATCGGTTTTGTTCAGAATGCCTTAAAATCAAAAGTTCTAGCTGAAAATCGGGGACGGAAGAAAAAATCTTCACCAACAACGTACAGCCGCATCGTGTCTTGCAAAAAAAGAAGCGCTCATGTCTTTCAAGGCCATTTCCGCTGAATTTGGAAATGTAATATCATGTCGGACAGTTCGTCGCAGACTACAATATGCAGACTTACCAGGACGTTTATCCCGAAAAGTTCCGTTACACCGAGGAAAAATCATTTAGCATTGTCTGGGCCAGATGGGTCTAAAAAGTGGAATAACATATTATGGAGCGACGAAACAAAAATAAATCCTTTTGGTAATGACTCCAGAAGATATGTACGACGCCCCAAAGGCAAATAATTCGACGTCCGGTACACAAAGAAATGGTTAAGCACGGAGGCGGTTTCATAATGGTCTGGGGCTGTTTTTCTTGGCATGGCGTTGGGCCGATACATCGCATAACTGATAATATGACCAAATTTGGACATAAAAACATTTTTACTGACATGCAACCATATGCTGAGGAAAACACGCCCTTGAGATGGGTCTTTCAACAGGACAATGACCCAAAACACACCTCAAAGCTGGTCAAGGATTGGTTCACAGAAAACAAGGTCAACATTATGAATTGGCCAAGTCAGTCTCTTGACTTAAACCCTATTGAAAACTTATGGGGAGACTTAAAACGGCGAATTGAAACAAATGCCTTTCGAAATGCGCAAGATTGTGGGAATTTGCGCAAAAAACCTGGTATGAGATTCCAGTGGAGACTTGCCGCAATCTTATTGACAATATACCAAAAAGAATCGCCAAGTGATACAAAATAAGGGTGGCTATACCGGATACTAACATAAGATTATAAATAATAAAAAAAAAATTGAAAAATTTAGATACGCTTTAAGTTTTTGCCTTTGTAGAATTGCTTTACTTATTATTTTCACCCCTTGCTTATGTTTTTTAGATAAAATTTATCAGAAACTATATATTTGAAGCGAAAATTGCTTATGTTAAATTTTTTTATATTCTACTGTAGGTTAGTAACTTAAAAGTTAAGTGGATTTTTTCTTTGTTTTTTAAAAAAGTTTTACGAACGTGAAAGAAAGCTCATGGGCGTGTACTTATTATTTTGACCAGTAGTGTATGTTGCGGCAGGTCAGCTCAGGTCGCTACATTAGCCTTCAAAATAAAAGCTGCCAAAAATTGTAGAGCCCACACACAAGCACAGTATGTGTGAATACATGGCACACTCGCATTTACGCAACCTGGAAACGAAACTCAAAACGGTTTCGGAAAATAAGAATTGATAAATATTTTGTGGTGTCTGTGTACACACATGCGTTTGCAATTCTCGGCTTGCTTTCGCATCTCGTCATGAATCGAACATGTCGAAAAAATGCCAAACGTCTCAGGTCCACGACCCGAACATCTCAGGTCCACACCCGAAGACCTGGGACAGAAAACTCAGCTGCGACACATTCGTTGTATGAACTGGCACATCTATATACTGTATGGTTAGTGGTACTAGGCTTAAAAGGTATATTCCACGCAAGTGTCGGGTATGTAAGTAATAACAAACCAAATTAAATTTTAAGTTCTACAACGATTTACCACTAATACATACATATAAACGCAAGGACACTCACATATATTTTTTATTGAATACATACAAACGATGATCAATATAAATAGTTATTTTAATACAATTCACACACAATTAAGTTTCACTAAAAATTAGCTTAGGTATGGACAGAAAAGTTTCGTATGTACCCGCTAGATTGGCAGAATCGGCAACTGTGCAATGAGAATTGTTAACAAACAAATTTCCAAGTTTAAAAAAATTTGTATAATATTTTAGATTAAAGGTTCCTTAAAGGTTGTAAGGTTTAAGGTCCCTTAAAGGTTCTTTATCAATCAAAAAAGTTTAGGTTAAGGATATGACATAGGCGCATACACCAGAATGCACCAGAGGGATTCATGCCACCCATATTTGGAGCAAAAGCACCTACACTTTTACATTTATTTTGATTTTATTATTATAAAAATTATAAATTAAAAAAAACACTAACTCCACCGGTAATGTGCGTATGCGCGATTACTTTCACACTGCTTATGCACATCATCTTTTTTTTTTATAACTCTACCTTGACCATGCGCAGCGTCTAGAATTTCCCAAGCTAATCTCTCTGGAAGACATACTTTATGATCTTTTTCAAACGCTGCATCTAATAGCCATTTCATAGCGAGAAAATAAGATCTTTTTGTCGTTACAGGAACTGGGACTTGATAGTTCACGCCACCACGTTTTATAGATGTCAACTGAAGCAATGGTCTACTATTTTCAACCGCATCTATTAATATCATTTCTGCATTTGTGTTAACTTTTTGTTTATCTTCTGGGCACAGGTGCATACGCTCAGTTTGCGCACGTTTGATTATTTCTAATGTTCTTGACAAAAGTCCTCTAGCTAAGACTCTATTTCCATTTTTCGTTATATAATTCAACATTTTCAGTTTGATTTCGTCGTTAAAGACAGTATCAGAAGAATTGTTTAGAGCTGCCCTTATCGGTATATGGTAAAACTTAGTCAGTTCACTCTTATTTAAATCTTCCATTTCTCTTTTAATAAAAGGGTCAGCGTAATGTTGGGGAAACATTGACATCGAGCGATAACTAAAAAACAATAATTTTGTTTATAGATTGGAATGTTTATAATAAATGGGAACCTTTTACCTGTAGATAGAGGATCGCAAAGCGATTCTATAAAACACTGCCATAACGATTACACACTTAATTCTCTAAATTTGATTATTATCAAATGTCATAATTGTCAGTAATGTAACTGGCCTAGTGTGACCAAGAAGTTATGTTTAAGTAGTATAGATGTATTAACAATATTCTGGGTATTCCCGTATAAGTAGAACAGCTGAATCGCTTAACTTTCACAAGGTATTCAAAATATTATATTCCGCTATGCTCCGGTTTTCGTAAATTTATGCGATTACAATTTTCGGTTTTATTAAAAAAATTTGATAAATACACTCCATTCTTTGCTAAAGAGCTTATCTGATTCTAAGTCGTATTTTAAAGTTTCTGCATTATGTTCATATATTGAACTTCATAAAATCTATTGAACGAGAATGGCACTGATCAAGAATATATATACTTAATGTGCTTGGAATCTTTTCCTTCTCTGCGTTACACACTTACAATTTAACCAAAAACCTTTTCACACTGAGCGTGTTTCCTATCGATATCAGAATAGACGCAATGAAGCAGAAAAGGCGTTCACATTGGCAGACGTCCGTCTTGAGAACAGCTGATTTGGGTGCTAGATGACAAGGAAAGTAAACAAATTTTGGGAAATCAACCGAATTATGCAAGACGACAAAAAATGGAAGAAAGAGAATTGATTCTCATATCTATTTATTCTTATCAGATATTTCTTTGTAGGTTCTGTGGGAGTTCTTCTTCAAGCCATGACAACCATAGAAATTCTTCTCCAGCAGAGTCTTGGTGGACTCAGTGGTCACGAAAATTTCGTATGATAATAATAAAATCAGTTTAAAATATTTTATTTACGTATCTTATGTATATTTTTACCTTTTCGCACAATCATACCTTTTTCGCGCCAAGTTTTGATTTTTAATGTGAAAGTTTTTGTTGTTATTAGTGGTGAAAGTTGTGCTGATAGCAAAGTGCAAAAATCTGCCGTTAAGCGTAAGAGCAATCGAATATTTCGAAGAGACGCACATGCATCAGATAGCGACGCAACTTTTTGCCACCACTAGGGCCCTATGCTTAACCAAAGACAATATAAGTATAAGATACATACGCCATACGAAATTTTTTCTAGAGCTGGCTCCAGGCTCTCTTGAAATCTTTTAGAGAGAGAGAGAGAGCGCTCTAGAGCCGCTTTCTTGTATGCATACAGCATACGAAGGCACACGAAGTTGGTTCTATGCCGCTGCGACAGCAGAGCCGAGTCGTCGAGACGACTGTAAGTGTGCACATGCATACGTTTTTTACAGCGCTGTCGAAATATACCCTTCACTTTACAAAAGCAAGTTAATTTTGCAAGACGCTTACCACCCTAATAGGCTGTTTACATTGGGGCTGCGTCATGCTTCTTTGCGTCTTGCCGGAGACGCAGTTTTTTTTACATAGGTTAAGCATAGGGCCCTAGTGGTGGCAAAAAGTTGCGTCAGTTTCTGATTCATGTGCGTCTATTCGATATATTCGATTGCTTTTGCTCATTTTTGGGATTTTCTGCCTATCAGCGCAACTATCATCACTAATAACAACAAAAAATTGTAGATCAAAAATCAAATTTTGGCGCTAAAAATGTATGATTGTGCAAAAAGGTGAAAATATACATAAAGTCATTAAATAAAATACTTGAAACTGATTGTATTATTATCATATGAAATTTTTCTGACCCCCTGATGCCATTAAGACACTGCTGGAGAGGAACTTCGGTGGTTTTCATAATTTGAAGAAGAACTCCCACAAACTCTACAATGAAATGTCTGAAAATAGTATTTAAATATGAGAATCAATTCTTTTTCGTCCATTTTCCTGACGTCTTGCTTAATTCTGTTGATTTTCAAAAATTTGTGTATCTTTCCTTGTCATCAAACACCCAAATCCAAATTCAAGACGCACGTCTTCCAATATAAACGCCTTTTATGCTTCATTGCGTCTATGCCGATATCGATAGCAGACGCGCCCAGTGTAAAAAGGCTATAATATTAAAAAACTGTTATATATATATATTATATCCCTCCAACGATAATTTATTTTAAGATGGTATATTCGATAATAATGCTCGGATATACATTCAAATATAATAGCCTTTTTACACTGGGCGCGTCTGCTATCGATATCGGCATAGACGCAATGAAGCAGAAAAGGCGTTTACATTGGAAGACGTGCGTCTTGAATTTGGATTTGGGTGTTTGATGACAAGGAAAGATACACAAATTTTTGAAAATCAACAGAATTAAGCAAGACGTCAGGAAAATGGACGAAAAAGAATTGATTCTCATATTTAAATATTATTTTCAGACATTTCATTGTAGAGTTTGTGGGAGTTCTTCTTCAAATTATGAAAACCACCGAAGTTGTCTCCAGCAGTGTCTTAATGGCATCAGGGGGTCAGAAAAATTTCATATGATAATAATACAATCAGTTTCAAGTATTTTATTTAATGACTTTATGTATATTTTCACCTTTTTGCACAATCATACATTTTTAGCGCCAAAATTTGATTTTTGATCTACAATTTTTTGTTGTTATTAGTGGTGATAGTTGCGCTGATAGGCAGAAAATACCAAAAATGACCAAAATCAATCGAATATACCGAATAGACGCACATGAATCAGACACTGACGCAACTTTTTGCCACCACTAGGGCCCTATGCTTAACCTATGTAAAAAAAACTGCGTCTTCGCCAAGACGCAAAGAAGCATGACGCAGCCCCAGTGTAAACGGCCTATAAAAATACACAATATATTTAATACATGACTCCACATTGGAATAATTGCCATTAGGGTATTCAGCGTGCGACGTGTGAAAAAGAGTGTAAGTTGTGGTGGGCAAGGTCTATTTTTTGAAAATATTTTTAAAAATAATAGAAAGCAACTTTGTTCGGCTAAGCGCCGGCCCATGGCAGCACAAAGAGTAGTTGATCATCTCTTAATCTAATGTCTCTCTTTATAACCGTTTGTTTGCTTGTACTTATGCTCTTGCTGGTGCTTTGCTCTTTCTCGGCGTTAGTCAGCCGCTGTGGGGGAGGCTCATCAGGAAAAGCAGAACACACTTCAAATTCGATCATCACCGTAGTAAAACGTTTGGCTGTCTGGCACAGTGACCTGCCTGCCACAGAGTTCTAAACTAAACCTAACATAAACATATCAACTTCAACAGTCTTGAACCGGCCCCCGCGTCTTCAATCGACCCATCGTTAACTCTCGTTATTAAATTCGCACACCTTTCGCTAGTTTTTTGATAATACATATATATTAACTTAAGTAAAATAAATTGTGAATATATTAACTGAACAATCATCGTCTCTTAAATAATCTTGCAAAACAACGCTACTGAAGAAGCTCAGTAGCTCAACATTTGGTGACCCCGACGTGATATAAACATAAACTCTTTAAATTTTATCACAAAAAACATTTTCGTTGGATAAATTCGCTTTGAACCACGGTGTTTCGGTTCATCGTTTGTGCACAAGCAACAGAAACGGTTCTCGCGTCATCTGCTTTGCGGTCTGCTTGCTTGCTGCTGTTTCGTTTCGGTTTCGTGCTCTCAGTGTGCATGCCTTTGTTGTTGTCGGATGCACAAGTGCAGTGCGTTTCAAACTGTTAGCTCTCGTTGCTGATCTGTAAAACTGCAAGACTGTGTGTTTTGAACGCTGCGATCGATTGTACAGTTCGTGTAAAACTGTTCGAGGTTATTCACCGGCTGTTCACCTCTACACTCTCTCGGTGACTCTAAGCCCAGCTTTTCTATTGAACATACACGATGGCTTCTAATAGCACCCCTTCGATCTTGCCCCCCTCACCCGTGTTCGTCGATTCGGAAGCTGCATTCTACAAGCGCAAGGTGCAATCCATGCTAGGGGCGGCACGGAGAATCGAAACGGCCGTCGGCAAGGAGAGGATTGGCGAGCTCAGTGAGGAGGAGCTGAACGTGAGGCTGAAGCTGCTAGCGGATCTTGTAGCTTCATTCAACGAGCACCATAATGCCCTGGAGAAGATTGATCTCGATGAGATCGGTAGTCCCTTGAGGGATGAGTTTGACGAGTGCGTGGTCATGCTGGAGATTCGTAAGAAGCGAGAGTTAAACAAGCGGCAGCCCACAATGCTACCATGTTCAACAATACGGGCGGACCATGTGGGAGAGCCCCAACTACGGTCGTCGTGCAAAGTCGGCCACGCCTGCCGGAGTTGAAGCTTCCTGAGTTCGGTGGGGGCTACGCTCAGTATTCCTCGTTTTGGGGCATGTTCTCCTCCATTATAGATAAGGACCCTGACCTTACGAATGTCGAGAAACTGCAGCATTTACGATCATGCCTAAAGGGACCAGCGCTGGACACTATCTCGTCTCTGGAATTTAGCCACGCCAGCTATCCTATTGCTCTAGATTTACTCAGCAAACGATTTAATAACAAGCGTCTCATCTTTCAGGCACATGTCACAGACATTCTGAGCTTGCAGCGTGTCGAGGCCTCATCTGTTTCCCAACTACGGTCCCTTTCGGATACAGTTAATGCCAATCTGCGAGCTTTACAAAGTATGGGGACAAAGGAGCAGATTGCTGACTGCATCTTAATACACAGCGTGCTACAGAAGGTGGACAGCGCCACACAAACCAAGTGGGAGGAATGCACGTCGTTGGATAGCATACCCTCCAGCCAGCTTTTCGCCACGTTTCTGGAGCAGAGATGCCAGAGGTTGGAAACCCAAGAGCACGCAAATGATATGTACACCCAGAGCAGTCGGAAACACTGTCTAATCGCAACCAGCTCCAAGGTCTGTACATTCTGCGGTGATCCAGGACACTCCATTTATGCGTGTTCACAATTTGGGAATCTTTCCGCTCAACTTCGGCTTCAGGAAACTAAGAAGCTGTCACTGTGCACCAACTGTCTCCGAGCAGGCCACACGCAGGGAGCATGTCATTCTCGATCCTGCCGAATATGTGGTGCCAGACATCACACTCTACTTCACTTCGAGTCCCCGTCTTAAGGTTCTCAATCCATTCTGCCATCACTGTCACATTCTACATCAGCTCCGCAATTGCCCGCGGGACCCTCTGGCGTTGTACATACTGCAACAGCGTC